TCAAACAAGAGGGGAGTCATCCCTTTTATATCTTGAGTCTGTCCTTGACCTGGGAATAAATGTTGTCGGTGATATTGTTTTGGATACTAGGCTACAAGAAAGCTAAGCAAGTTTAGGTTTGGTTGAGCCAATGAAGGAAGACAAAAGCAAATTGCTAGTTTGAGAGCTTCCCTAACCAGGGTGAACATCAGTTCTATGTGCCCTCTACCGCAAACATAACTAACACTTGAATTTCTCTAGTTCTCAGTTTCTCCATTAATGCATGACTTAGGCTCCCATCTCTGACCTCAATGCAATAATTCCCTATCTGTTGGTTATGAATTGAATGCTTGTTCTCCCCCAAAATTCTTATGTTGAAGCCCTACCACTAATGCGATGGTATGTGGAGATGGGGCTTTGAGAAGTAATTAGGTTGAGATGAGGCCTTGAGTGTGGTGACCTCCTGCTGGGATTAGTGCCCTTATAAGAAGAGATACCTGAGAGCTTTCTCTTGCTCTTTCTGCCATGTAAGGATATAACAAGAAGGCAGCAGTCTGCGGGCCAGGAAGTGAGCCCTCGTCAGAAGTCGACCATGTCAGCACTCTGATCTCAGACTTCCAGCCTTCAGGAGTGTGAGAAAATAAATTTCTGTTGTTTAAGCCACCCAGTCCATGGAATTTTGCTATGGCAGAATGAGCAGACTAAGACACTATTCTTCCCACGTGCATTTTTGTCTCCCCACTAATTCATTCACTATTTAGTAGGATGACCTTTAAAACAACAACTGACCACAACAATCAGTTGCTTAAAACATTTCAGTGGAAAACAAACCAAATCAAAACTTATTAGGCCTTTCCATCATCCTTAATACATCCAAATTCTGTAATATGACTCTCAAGGGCTTCCAAATTTTGGCTTTTGCCCATTGCTTTTAGATTTACTTTTGATACTTTCAGACTTGGGCCAAATAGACTTTTTAAGGTTCCTCCCACACTATGATTTCTCCAGGGGTGTCCAATTGTTTGGCTTCCCTCGGACACATTGGAAGAAGAAGAAGAATTGTCTTGGGCCACACATAAAATACACTAGCACTAATGATGAGCTAAAAAAAATCACAAAACTCATCATGTTTTAAGAAAGTTCACAGTTTTGTGTTGGACTGTATTCAAAGTCGTCCTGGGCTGCATGCGGCCTGTGGGCCATGGGTGGGACCAGCTTGCTGTGAACCTTCATACAAAGTTAACTGTTTTTGCTTAGAATCCTTCCTCATTACCAACCCACATCCTTTTGTCTTTTTGTCCTGGATAACACCTCCTCACTCACCCTTCAGGTTTCAAATCAACAGAACTTCCCCAGGAGGCTTTTCCTGACTTACAGGTGATGTTAGCATCCCTGTCTCCATACAGTCCTGCAATGTTCTGTCCTTCTCCTAATATTATACTCCTCACTTGTTTTTAATGGCCATTTAAAATCTGTCTTCTGAGCTAGAATGGAAATGCCAAAAGGGGGCAAGCCATGTTTCTCTCGTTCATGATTATACTCTCCCTTTCTCCCTTTTAAACTCACACTTAAGGCATTCACTGCACGTTGAATTAATGAATGATCAAGTAAAGGAATGCCCTCTCACAGCAGCCCTCCGTGTCACTCTGCTTGTTCCAGGGCTGACCCTGTTGGCTGTAAATTGCAGGTGTCTGCCTGCTGCCCAGATCTCATTATCCCTGGTGTAGCCGCTTCCTGGAGCTGAGGCAACTCTCTCTGCCCCCAGAGCTGTTTGAAGACTGGAGGCAAACCAGCATGAGCCTGATTCTAACACAAGAAAAGGGAATAGATTTGTCAAACTGTAGATCAAGGAATTTGGTGCTGATTTGGAGCAGAAATTTGAAGCAAATTACTGAATGTATTATTAAATGCACAGGATCCATTTAGAATCCAATAAGTTTAAAAAATAAATTAGAAATTAATATTTATGAGCACTTAGGAAGGAGTTGATCAATGTGAGTCATCATTGATTAAAAATATAACAGGCCATTATTTCAGTTTGGGGTTTCATGGTGACACTTTGCATGGTGACATTTTGATAGGGTCTCAATCCTCCTAGTTTGGAATTTTGTACACACAAGGAAAGATAAAGATATAGGAAACACAAGATCAAAGTATTTAAATCTGAGAAACTGCCCCAAATACCTCTCTGTCCATTAACAATGCAAAGCTTTCTTATAAAAACACGGTGGGGGAATGAAGCTTAGACTTGAGGCTTAAGTGATTTTGATTTTCCAGCCATCTGTCCCTACCCTGCTCTCTTTTCCTCTACTTATCCTGAAACTAAGATGGATGGTTCTACAGAGGAGATCCTGAATCCGTCTCCCTAACCACTTGAGATGTGGATGAGGCTGGCCTGTCTGCACAAAGGTATAGGCTCTGCCCAAGTGGGCTTACCAGAAGTGCAAGTGAGGGGATGCACTTGGATTCTGTTCCTTGCTATAAAATGGCCCTCCTCTCTGCTAAAGCATGACCTAATGATTGAATGGTTCGAGCTGTGACCAGGAACTGAGAAGGGAAAGTGGTAACAGCTCTTTCTCACCATTATGGGTGGAGACTGACATGTGAAAAGAGGGAATGGATGTTGTTCTTTTATTTTTTGAGTCTGTTAATATGAATTGTCCATTGAAGAACTGTTGTAGATAATAATAGCTAATATTCAGTGAGTGTTTCTATGTGTCAGGTCCTGTTCTAAGAATTTTTCATGAATTAACTCATTTAATCTTCACTCAACCCTATCTGGTAGGCACGGTTTCAGTCTCATGAGTTAAGAGTAATGCAGCCAGTAAATGGTAACGGTGGGATTTATACACAACAACCAGGTCCAAAGATGGAGCCCACATACATGACAACACCACATATTCCACTCTATTGTATCCACTGCTGACTACCAGCAGAGCCCAGGGAGAAGGCAGGTTCCTCTAAGACACTTGACAACACTTCTAAGATGTCTTTATGAATAGAATAGAAAATTGAAGTTTGGCAATTGCACTGTTAAGCAGTTTATTAATAACCAGTGAACCAAAGAATGCTATGCTCCCAGCTTAGCGGAGGGAGCTCCTTAGTGGGATGTCATGTGGCATCTTAATATTTTTATGTAATCCGTGAATATGGGGAGACCCTGGATGCCTGAATCCAATCCTAAGGGACTTAGAGAAAGTGGATCAGGAACTTTGGTTCCAAAGATCAACTCCATGTTCACATGCATGGCCTAAGCATAACACCATAAAGAATTTCCAGTCTTCTCCACGTACTCCTATCAACATTGAGATGTATTTGAGAAAAAAAAAAAAAGAGAGAGAGAGAGAGAGAGAGAAAAGATCTCAGGCTGTATTGTGTTTGCTAATGGTTAATTAGGTAATTAATCTATAAGACAACTACTTTTTTATCCTTTTTTTTTTTTAAGGGCAGAGACACATACCCTTCCAGGAGAAGATGGCTCAGATGAGAGAGACTTGAAGCTATATTACATGAAGAAGAGTCAGAGTAATTGAGGATGATTAATCCTCAAAATAGAGTGTTTAGGTAAAATTTGAGGGCTATCTTCAAAGATCTGAAAGACCTCTTCATGGAGGAAAGATGTGAAGATCAAAGGTTACAGGGGAGTGGATTTGCATAATTGCTGTGCAAGGAGGAACAATTATGACAGCTAATGTTTACTGAGTGCTCACCACGCATGCACTAAAGTTAAGGTCTTTACATGCCTTAGCTACAAGGTTGTAGATCAAATTCATGCTCATCACTACAAGCATCTCAGAGCATTGTTAGTAAAGGCTCCATTTATTGACTACTTATTAAATTACCTCATTTAATAGTTGTGCCATTGATTTTTGTTATTGTATCATTACTGTTTTATAGATGAGGAAATACAGAAGTTAAGTTGCTTTCCTGCAGTCATCCTAGTTACTGGCTTTATAATCATGTGGACCCAGGCACTCTTGATACTAATATTGCCTCCCAGAGTCATGCATGTAATAAGGAGTTAGATCAGAGCTGTTCATTAAAAATATAAGGTGAGCCACTAATGAGAGCCTATGTGTAGCCTTACATTTTCTAGTGGTCACATCAGAAAATGTAAAAAGAAACTGGTGAAATTAATTTTATGTATGCTTATATGTTAACCCAATACATGATGAACCCAATGGACTTATTACATCAAACTATTCTCATGTATTGCAATAATGTAATCAACATAAAAATACTTAACAAGTTAGTTTACATTCATTTTAAAAATACTAAATTGTATGTCTGTTTTACAGTTACAGAACATCTCAGGGCTAGCCACATTTCAAGTGCTCAACAGCTGCCTGTGGCTCTTGAGGGGGAGGATCTTAAAAGGGAGTTTAGTTTTCCACCTTGATTCTGATGCCTCCCAGCCCCCAACTTATTTCCTTTGCCAATTAGAAGAAAATGCCTAACTGCCTTTGACTTTTCCGGTAGAGCCAATGTAGGTATTGCTGAATTTGGGGAGGACAGGTGTTTCGCCTGCAACCCTCTTCCCTCCTGCCAGCTAGGCTGGGAGTTAACGTTTTTGATTTCCGTTTTGAAAATGATTTAAGTAGGTTGCATGAATTAAGTAATTTATTCTAAATACCAAATTAGGGGTAGAACGTCTTGCCTTATGCAAAGTTATGCAAAATTAGGATGTCCCTGGCTTAATTGGTTAGAAATACATCTTGTAGCTTCAATTGCAGGGTTAGTAAATACATAGATGTCGACTGAGAGGGAGGAAATGTTTTGTTATTTTTGCCACTCTGTCTAAGGGTAGAGGCACAGCGTCAAAACAAACACGTCTTAAAGTAGCGTTCAAACAGCCCACCGAAGTTTCCCCTTAATATCCGGAACCGGTTGCCAAAAATGAAAAAAAGATGTGAAAAGATTCTACTCGCTTTTGGCCTCCCGGAGGTGGCGCTATGAGGGTGACGGAGTTAATTAGTGCCTCCAAACGCCGTGTGTGAGCTCATCGAAGTCATGTTCTGCACACATATTATTTATAGCAGATTTGAGGCATGCATGGTGTTTGACATTTCTGTCTTTATAAGTAGGGGGACTTCAAAAAGTCGTGGGCATTCCCCTAGGCAAAGTGCAGTGGGCAGGGACCAGGGTGCGGGCGCAAGGCGAACGCGCAGACCACGAGTGTCCTGGCGCAGGTGCCAGGGGCGGCGGCTGCAACTCCGCAGCGTCCGCTCGGGAGGAGAGTTCGCGGCTGATCTCTGGATGCCTTGCAGATGCAAAATGTGTCTCTGGCCAGCAGGAGGAAGGAAGAGGAAGTGAGAGCAGCGGCAGTCGGCGGTGCAGCAGCCGGCCGACCCGGAGTGTAAGTGCGTGTGCTGGGGCGAGCGGGAGCGGGCGAGGATGGGCACAGGATAGAGGTAGAGCCACCCACGCCGCCGCGGCCCCACGCTGGGCGACAGAGCCTCCAGTTCCCCTTCAATGGTGGCAGGTCGCCGCAGCTCTGATCGCCGGGAACCCTTGCATGGACCTTGGAGTCAAGGATTCTATTAGAGCAGGGAATGCGGGCTGGCGGCTCGACTCTGCGTCTTCTCCGTGCACTCAGGGATGGGGAGGGAATCCCCGGCG